TGAACCTTTTATTGGAAGCAATCTAGAATTATTATTGACTTGATTATGTCATTATTTTCTCTTTGAGTTGCATGTGCTATCCATTTTAGTTGTTGCTGCTATTGGTAGTTCTCAAGCGACATGGTTTCTGTTGTTTGGTACAGTTCTTTGTTTGTGATGATTCCGTTCGAGGGCAGGTTTCATTTTGTTCTGACTATATTTAAAGAATTTTTTTTTTTTTTGTAACCAATTCACCCCAAGCAAGGAGGTAATGCCACTAAGATGAAAGGCCCTACTGAGAGTGAAAGAGAATGAAAGAGATTTTAGAAGGAACCAGAAACCTTATCCTAAAAAGGTGACAAGGGATAAACCTCTACTCCTGTTCAAAAGACCAGAGAGGAGCATGATTATAATATATACTGCTAGTAAACAAAAATTGGAAGCTTCTTTATTTACGCTACAGTTCAAAAGTTTGAGGCTACCTCTGGTAATTTTTTAAATTGACCCGAAAGGTAGTTGTTTTATACTTTAATAAGAGAAAATTATTGTACATAGTTAAAAAAAAAAATGAGTCATTTTTTATTAGAAATGTTATTACAAAAAGATAAAGCATTTTATGATTTAATTTTGCTCTCTCTCATATATTATGAAATAGACAAAGTCCGACAATTATTTTAAGACATATTTATGTTTATACATTCTTTTTATAGATATAATTATTTTAAGTAAATGCTCTGTTTTTATAAATGTTATTAATACTGTTTATTATAAAAACAGAGCATTTACTTAAATACTTAATCTATAAAAAGAATGTATAAACATATAAATGTTATATATATATATATATATATATATATATATATATATATAAGAAAAATTTGGAAAAAACAAACAAAAAATCATAAATGCAATTATGTTGTTTTAAAATGAATGAAATGTCGACGTCTGACGTTTGGTTTAATAAACCTTCTTCAGGACAATATTCATTAATATACAATTCAGTTCAATTTGACAAAGACGATGGACATAAAAAACAAGTCTTATCCAAAACAGATAACTGAAAATTTAATGAATATTGTCCTGAAGAAGGTTTATTAAACCGAAAACGTCAGACGTTCGTCATTTTAAAACAAATATAATTGCATTTAAGGATTTTTGTTTGTTTTTTTCCAAATTTTTCTTCATTCTGTCGGATCTATATCCATTTACATTTGCTTACAAATATATATATATATATATATATATATATTCTGGTGAAATATAATGCTCAGTAGTAGCGCTAAATATAAACACAATAACGAGAGTAGAGTTTGTAAATCTTGACAAAAAATGTTAATAACTTTAACAATACTAAATAGCGTGAGAATTTTAAAAAAAATTGAGTTTTATTTAAATTTCAGGGGAATGTTCCAGTCATTGGTTTTGGGCTACAACCTATTCTGTTGTCTTGTTTGTCAGTGTGTTTGTCTATTGTGAGCATTTGTCACAAGCGTTTAGGAATCGTATATTTTAAAAGGCTCTTACATCTTGGTGATAAATGTTTTGTCACTCTCATTTTAGAATGGAATGTTTTTATTTAATGAATTTCAAAGGATAAACAGACTCATTGCAAATTATGAAAAGATAAATGTTTGGGAATAATAATAATAATATACATGGTGTCCCCGCAAAAATTAACATCATTTTGTCGTCTAATAACATAGTCAATTCTCATTGAAATGATCTCAAATTTTAACAAAATGTGTAAAAACTAAGTTGCCTGTGTTCATATCTCATTGAGAATCTACCAGGAAGATGGATCAGATGTGCCAGTGATAAAGACAATGTTCTGTTGAAATGGTCACTACATTCACCTGACTGGACACCTAGTGATTTTTTAGTATGAGGCTATGTGAAAGGACAGGTCTATATACCCCGTTTTCCTACAAGCTTAGAGGAACTTAAGCAGAGAATCACTGAGGCTCTGGAGAATGTTATGCAAGACGTGCTACAGTGTGTTTGGCAGGAGCTGACATGTATCCTGTCACAGGTAGGTGTGCATATTGAACATTTGTGAAGCTTTGTGAAATCATACTTATTATAAAACCCAGGTTGTGTGTGTGTGTGTGTGTGTGTGTGTGTGTGTGTGTGTGTGTGTGTGTGTGTGTCTGTAGTTTATATATTGGATCGGATTTCCTACATTTTTCGACTGATTTCAACAAAACTTCACAGGACTACGTAAAATTACCTTGTGGTGGTTCTGACAGCACCAAAAATTGGAAAAACACAATTGTTTTTGCATGAAATCAATTTGAAAACACGATTAAGAGGCATCACGAGAATAAAAGGGGGACAACTCATATTGAGTTATACTTAAAACCCAGGTTGTTTGTGTGTGTATGTCTGTGTTCGTTTATATATGGGATCGGATTTCCTACATTTTTCAACCGATTTCAACAAAACTTCACTTTTTTTTTTGGCAGGTAGTGTTTCTTATTGTCTTGCACACTTTTTTCTTTATTTTTACATTCAGAATGCTTTAAAAATTCCATTTACAAGACAATTGTTTATAAAATTCTATTCAATTGGTAGACTCATAACGATTGAAAACAATGTTTTTGTTTGAGTTTGGGTTTGACCAATTCGTAAAAAAAAAAAAAAAAAAACAAAGCAAAAACTAATTAAGACATGTGTGTCCATCAACCTTAAACAATAATCTTTGTCAATTTTATTTTTCAGTCTTTATGATGGTCGATACTTGATCTATCTTTTACTGTTACATCCTCGGGCAATGATGGGCTCTACTGCTAGTCTGTTATAAAATCTACATATTTTTGAATTTCTTGTTTGGATTTTAATCAATAAATCTTCTATTGTTCAACATGAACACTGTTTAATTTTGTGTGCCTGGGACATGTATATATGTGTATATATAGCTGGCCACTCGTATTCGAGGATACCCATCTACTAGGGTTCTAGCCAGTCCCTATTGCAGATGCTTGCTCAGGCGCATTTGTGTTTATTCAACACCCACAGAGTCCACCAGTGTTTATACTGCAACTATGCAGACCTTAGTTACAGTTTCTGGGAAAGAGCATGTTATCTAGTGTGATCAACAATTTGAACAAGGCCAGCATGCTCAAGCCCTTGCCTACGATGATTTGTGACTTCATGTTAGCACAGCTATTGATGGCACCCAAGGGTTGCATCTACCTAATTTTACTCACAAGGTTGGGTCAACCCATGGCATGGTTTTCAGCCACTTTCCAAAGGTGATGCATGCTGAGATTGACTCCTCCACTCCAATAACATCAGGAAGTCTCTTTCCTGACAAATTGACCATGGTGAGATTCAATCTCATGGTCAGAAAGCGAACGTTCTAACCACTTGGCCATATGCCCATATAACATGTAGTTACTCAGATATTCACATTTTAAAGGATGTCAATTTTTAGGGGATACCCTGTAACATGTATATGTTGATGATAAATGTTTTGACACTCTTGTTTGAGCATGGAATTTTTTTTTATTTAATAAATTTCAAGAGATAAACCAAATCCTTGCTAGTTTATAAAAGATATATGTACCAGTTGCTTCACTTGTGAGTGCTTTTTGAGTAAGTGCCCTTCCTAAGGGTTCAATTTCTAAATAAGCACATCGGGCACTTACTTGAGGAAATACAGTATCTATGCAGTTCAGATAAAAGCCAGTTTGTTCTGTTCAGATGCAAACAAACAGTAGTTATTTGTATGAAATGCTCTCAATGTCAAAGTCTTATTGATTACCATCTTGCAAAGTTTTTAAACTTGAAAATGGCTTCTAAGGCTGATTTGACTCTAAATAAACCTAACCTATTTACATATACACTTCCTCCAACCCTCAAGCCAGCATGAACAAGCAAACTAGAGGTCATGACTATAAATAACCATCTGTATTAGCCTTAAACAAAAGAAACTGGGAAGGGCCAGTTTCCTCTTCCCCCAAACTTCACTTAATCCTCTAGTAACCTGTATACACAACCCAACATATATATACCGGGTGTCACAGCAAAATTGTCCAAATCAGGTGTAACAGCATAATTATCCATCCTGCAAAATGTTTAATACCTTTTAAAAAAAAAACAAAAAAAAAAAACACTACACTAATTGAGTTTCTTTTTTCCAGGTTTTCAGATAAGACGTTTAGCCATCTTGACACCATTTTTCATAAGAATTGCTGAAAAATCCTTTGAGTTATACTGATAAAAAGAGGGCAGGTTAAAATTGTTTTGTGTCAGCCCCAGTCTTCCCATAAAAAGATTATTCAGTCTTTCAGTAATGGTACCAACATTCATACTCTGGCTTTCATCTTCAAAATCCATTCAAGCACCCTCAAGAGAACGGTGAATAATCATTTGTAAGTCACGGTTCAGAGCTTAATCTAACAATTAGACAATTTTGCTGTTACACTCCGTGTGTGTATGTGTGTGTGTATATATATATATATATATATATATATATATATATATATATATATAAAACCTCTTGGAGGAGTACTTGGTCTGAAGATTGCATTACAGTTTGAAAATGATAGTCACCATGCAGTGTGTTGATTGCTATGTCCACACTATCTATCTATCAGGTCAATCTACGAGTGCTAGTAGTACTACGTAACCCAGTACGACCAGCCTCAGAGTAAAGTTTTCAACATCTAAACTAGTCCCCCCATCAGGTTTTTTTTTTTTGGTGGGGAAGAGGGTGTTGAGACACCCAGCACAATTCAGCAGTGTTAAAGATGGTAGTTGGTGCTGCATTTTAAGCTTTTTAAGATTGTAGGTGACAAAGAAACAAGAAACCGTAAGAGATTTCCACAGACAAGAAATGCAAGAAAAGAAAGTATTAGAATAGAACTTATGGTTTGATTTACTTTTCTTTGCATACAAGAACATAATTATGGATTCCATGTCCGTAGGTATTGTAGACTATTATTTTTGAAGTTGATGAAGTGGTTTCTAAAAGACTGGACAGACAGATTCAGAAAATGCAATTTACATATAAATGTTAAATGCTTTTATTAAATCTTTCTCTGAGTGTTGAACATATCTTTTCTTTTTCTTTATTCTTGTCTTTCTTTTTATTACTTTTTTGTTTTTTCTTTTCTTTTTTTACTTCTTTGTTTTTTCTTTCTTTGTTTTTTCTTTCTTTGTTTTTTCTTTTCTTTCTTTGTTTTTTCTTTTCTTTCTTTGTTTTTTTCCTTTTCTTTCTTTGTTTTTTCTTTTCTTTCTTTGTTTTTTCTTTTCTTTCTTTGTTCTCTCTTTTCTTTCTTTGTTCTCTCTTTTCTTTCTTTGTTCTCTCTTTTCTTTTTTGTTTTTTCTTTTCTTTGTTCTGTCTTTTCTTCTTTGTTCTCTCTTTTCTTTGTTGCTTTTCTTTTCTTTTCTTTCTTTTCTTTTTCTTTTCATTCTTTTCTTTTCTTTTTCTTTCTTTTTTCTTTTTCTTTTTTCTTTGTTTTTCATTTTTCTCTTTTCTTTCTTTTTTCTTTGTTTTTCATTTTTCTCTTTTCTTTCTCTTTTCTTTCTTTTTTCTTTCTTTTCTTTCTTTCATTTTCTTTTCTTTCTTTTTTCTTTTCTCTCTTCGCTTTTTAATAAAAGCAAAATTCCAGACTGTAAGCTATTTCTACAAACTTCAGATTTTTGTTTACTCAGCCCACCCATCATCACCCTTACTTCCTTGTGTTGAATTCTCCCCCCCGCCGTCCCATAGTTTATTTCACATGGCCTTTTTATGAAAGGCACCAACTACATACCAACAATATTTTGCTGAAAACCCATCTTTTTTTTTTTTTTTTTTTTTTTTTCATAGACATGGTTTGATATCTTTTCTTTCTCTTCCCTTTTCTGGAATGATGATGCTTGCCTTTTAAGAGTGTGTGCAGTGTGTATATATATAGACATACATGTGAATATATATGTAGATGTGTGTGTGTATGTATACTTTGAAGGTTCTGCATGCATTTCTTGGCACATAAAATACATTAAACATATATTATATATATATATATATATATATATATATATATATATATATATATATATATATATATATATAGTATATAAAATAGTATTGAGGAAATTGTAAGATAAAATGAAAAAGTTTACTTGTGATGCATTGTTAGGATCTTATTGGACTGGGTTTGTTGATGTTGTTATGACTACATATGCACTTGAATGAGAGACGCTGGTAGTTTCAAAATCTTTGAAAGAATTCTTTGGAAATAATTTTTTTGCAATCTAGCCAAATTCATCTGTATTCTTTTTCTTATGTATATATTCCTTTTCTTATATATCTAATTATTATTATTAAATATGAGGCATTTTGTGTCGATTAATTTCAAAGATCGACTTTTCCAAGTTACAATTACTCTCAGACAAGGGGGAAATAACAGTCAGAAATTATTCAAAGTTCATTTTTTGGGGTGGGGTATTTCCTTCTTGTATGAGATGGATTTTAGGAAAAGTTGATCATTAAAATTAACAGACACAAAATGTCTCATTATTGATATTTTCCTTACTGAACAATTACTACCTAAATATACAAAGAATAATATATATATATATATATATATATATATATATATATAATTAAAACAAAAGAAAGTTCCTATTTTAAAATCTTTCTCTTTGTGCTTCAATTTAGTAAAAAGGCTTATCTATAATAAATATCATCACTCTTATTGCAAATATTGTTATCATTTTCTTGGCTTTTTAGTCCTCACATTTTATTAACCAGCCTATTAAATCTACATATAAGTAAAAAGTTTGTCACCTAGCTGATTGATGTTACTTTTAGCATTCCTACTTCAGAGTTTCATAGACAGACCTAACCGTCCACTTGTCAGGAGATATCAGCAATTGACAGCTTCTAGATTTTTCTTTTTTATATACACTTATCATTGATGCAAGTTTTTTCATTGTGTCTGTGTGTGTGTGTGTGTGTGTGTGTGTGTGTGGGTTTGTGCGTGTGTGTGTGTCACCCATCTGCACATGCATGTAAGATGTGTTTTTTTTTTACTACCCACCCACACATGCACACACACATACATGTATATTAAAAACTTAGACATTTTAATATAAATTTGTCAGGATGTCTAGGAAAAGCTAAAATTTATTTTCTTGAATGATTTCTTCTAATTTGACACCAATTTGGAAAATAAAAAGGTCAGTTTTCTTATGTAAAAGAATTACAAAATCTAAAGTCATATAATAAAAATGCAAAAAGACTAATAGAAAAAAAGAAAGAAAAAGTAGTTCTCTCTATGCTTCAATTTAGTCAAAAGGTTAATATATCATAAATATCAATCTTATTGCCAATATTGTTATCATTTTGTTGGCTTTTTAGTCCTCAAATTTTATTAACTGGCCTATTAGTGCCTACTCAGATATCGGTATCCACTAAAAATAACATTTAAAAATGATAAAAATCAGTTGGATTAATAAATAAAAAATCCATTACTTCTTTAGAAATATAAATATATATATTCATGTTTTCTTTAATATGCAATTTGTGGTTTGTTTAATATACATTTAGAAAATTGTGGTTTCTTAAATCCTAACTTAGATATTAAATCATTCATATATATATATATATATATATATATATATATATATATATGGGGTGGATGTGTGTGGTAATCTCATCAAGTTCTTGGACTTGTATCTCTGCAGACTCCATTACCATTTAGTCATGTGAGACAGCTGATGGATTATTTGGCAATTCTGTTCTTGAATGACTTAACAAAAGTCTGATGTTTTACTGATGATTGGTTGTCCTGAAGACACATAATCTTGAATCGACATTTGATCTGCTTTGAGATACAGGGTCTGCTCAAGGACATGTTCTTTAGTGTCAAGAATGTTCTCTAAAAGCCTGACAAAGCGCTTTGGGAATCACATTAGCCGATCAGCAGAGCTTTACACAAAACTTGAAGCCAGCACAAAAACCTTGCCTAGGAACTGAACATTGATAACAAAAAATCTTCTTTTTATTTTATCATTTCCCCCTTCCCCAAAGCAAGGTAATAAAGCCACTAAGACACTAGTAAAGATACTGAAATTATTAAAGTGAAAGGACAATAAAAAGATCAGAATTCAAAGGGGCAGAAGATGATGATTGATGTTGCATTTAAATTTTTGCAGATTGTGCTTGACAAGAAAGTAGGAAGCCGGAAGAGAGTTCCACAAGTGAGAAGTGCGAGAGAAGAAACTATCAGCATAGAACTTACAGTTTTCACACAGTAGGTTGTGTAACAATGATTATTAGCTGTATGTACATTGCCTTTGAATAATTCAAACATAGGCCTTATGTAGGTATGATTTATATACCATATTTTCTTGTGCCTAATACAAGAAAATTTGAATGAAAATTAAAAGCAAAAAGTCGGCGGGGTTTGGTGGGGGCGGATTATACACAAGTACACTTTTTTTTTAAGGAATTTTTGCTCAGCTTAAAAACCTCTTATTTGAAATGGTAGATTACAAGTGCAATAGATAATAAAACACAAAGTAGGCAGATGTTGATAACAATTGTTTACAAAAGGTATTTGATATGTCTGTAATATTTGTTCTTTGGGAATCACTGTAATTGAATGTCTTTTGTCGCAGACAGGAAATTCCCTGAATTCATAAAGAGAATATACAAGAGCTGTCATGTTTTGATAACATTAATGTTACAGCAAATGCCTATTCCATAAATTACATACTTTTTTTTTATTATTTTCTTCTTGAAAAATATGGTAATAATTCCCATAGTGTAAGGTTGTGTTGTTTCATATTCCTCCATTTGTTGACACAAAGTATCTAGTTTGAAAACCTCAAACAATTTGAGAAAAATAAAACCATGTACAATAGATCTGCAAGCAACCCTGACATAATTATATTGCTATGTAAATAATGGACACTGGTACATGTAATTTTAAATCACAAATTATTATGATAATTTATGGGAATAAGACATCGAGATTTTAATGGATAATATAGTACAAAAAGAAATTTACATAGGGATGGTTGCACTACAGTATCGTATTATACTCAAGGATGTGTAATTTATTCCCTGCTTTTAGCTTCAGAAATATGTTTGTATTATATTATTTTTACTCAAGGATGTAATTTATTCCCTGCTTTTAGCTTCAGAAATATGGGTTTGTATTATACTCAGTATTTTTATACTCAAGGATGTGTAATTTATTCCCTGCTTTTAGCTTCAGAAATATGGGTTTGTATTATACTCAGTATTTTTTATACTCAAGGATGTGTAATTTATTCCCTGCTTTTAGCTTCAAAATATGGGTTTGTATTATACTCAGTATTTTTATACTCAAGGATGTGTAATTTATTCCCTGCTTTTTTAGCTTCAGGGGTTTGTATTATACTCCAGTATTTTATACTCAAGGATGTGTAATTTATTCCCTGCTTTTAGCTTCAGAAATATGGGTTTGTATTATACTCAGTATTTTTTATACTCAAGGATGTGTAATTTATTCCCTGCTTTTAGCTTCAAAATATGGGTTTGTATTATACTCAGTATTTTTATACTCAAGGATGTGTAATTTATTCCTGCTTTTAGCTTCAAAAATATGGGTTTGTATTATACTCAGTATTTTTTTATACTCAAGGATGTATAATTTATTCCTGCTTTTAGCTTCAGAAATATGGGTTTGTATTATACTCCAGTATTTTTTATACTCAGGATGTTTTTATTCCCTGCTTTTACTTCAAAATATGGGTTTGTATTATACTCCAGTATTTTTTATACTTGTAATTTATTCCCTGCTTTTAGCTTCAGAAATATGGGTTTGTATTATACTCAATATTTTTATACTCAAGGATGTGTAATTTATTCCCTACTTTTAGCTTCAGAAATATGGGTTTGTATTATACTCCAGTATTTTTTACTCAAGGATGTGTAATTTATTCCCTGCTTTTTAGCTTCAGAAATATGGGTTTGTATTATACTCAGTATTTTTATACTCAAGGATGTGTAATTTATTCCCTGCTTTTAGCTTCAGAAATATGGGTTTGTATTATACTCCAGTATTTTTTATACTCAAGGATGTGTAATTTATTCCCTGCTTTTAGCTTCAAAATATGGGTTTTGTATTATACTCCAGTATTTTTATACTCAAGGATGTGTAATTTATTCCCTGCTTTTAGCTTCAGAAATATGGGTTTGTATTATACTCCAGTATTTTTATACTCAAGGATGTGTAATTTATTCCCTGCTTTTAGCTTCAGAAATATGGGTTTGTATTATACTCAGTATTTTTTTTATACTCAAGGATGTGTAATTTATTCCCTGCTTTTAGCTTCAGAAATATGGGTTTGTATTATACTCCAGTATTTTTATACTCAAGGATGTGTAATTTATTCCCTGCTTTTAGCTTCAGAAATATGGGTTTGTATTATACTCCAGTATTTTTATACTCAAGGATGTGTAATTTATTCCCTGCTTTTAGCTTCAGAAATATGGGTTTGTATTATACTCCAGTATTTTTATACTCAAGGATGTGTAATTTATTCCCTGCTTTTAGCTTCAGAAATATGGGTTTGTATTATACTCCAGTATTTTTTATACTCAAGGATTTATTCCCTGTATGGGTTTGTATTTATTCCCTGTGTAATTTATTCCTTTTTAGCTTCAGAAATATGGGTTTGTATTATACTCCAGTATTTTTATACTCAAGGATGTGTAATTTATTCCCTGCTTTTAGCTTCAGAAATATGGGTTTGTATT